TCTCCCCTCTACTCTGTTACCAGCTATCTCCTAATGAAATCACATCCCATTAACACTTCCCTCCACCCTTTCTCCTTTTCCCTCCTTTACAAACTACTACAAATCTTTTCCATCATTTTACATTGGGCTATTTGACATTGACCATCCTAAAGCAAACTATCCCTTCTCTCACCAAATAAACTGCTTTCAATAAGCCTCTCCCAGCCCCCTAAACAAATAACACCCCACCAATCTACCTCATTCTAAAATATTGCTTTTCATAACCTTCAACCATTTGCTCCCTCTCTCTTCTCACAGAGATAAATTGACTTCAGTGTCTATGGGCACTGAGCTATCTCACTGAAACCATAAAGTACAAGTACACACACACACACACACACACACACACACAAAACCTCCCAAAGAAAAATGACCTAATATCATTTGCTTTTCCTTTTTCCAAGAAAGAAAATTTGTGAAGTATATAAAGACCCGTTTGTTTCTCTTGTACAATTTTCATTCCCCCATGAAATAAGCTAAGGAGAAATACAGTAAGGCTTTCCAAGGCCAAACACATTCTACTGTTTATTACACATATTACATTCTTAAATAAAAATGCGTCACATAACATTTTTTGCATAGATATCTTACAATATACCAATTTAAAAAAGAATTATGAAACAGACCAGTAACAAAAATAAATTTTATCTTCATTAATAATTTTGTAACATTAACATACCACCATCATATAATACAAATAATAGTTTTAAATCTTAAGACTTTTGTACAGCAAAAAAACTTGACAAAGTAATATATTTATATTTATATATATATATAAAAAGCTTAAAAAAAATAAAATGTCAAAAAAAGGCATAACCGAGGGCTATAAGACTGGGTACTTCTGTGATATATTATAAATACCAGAGAAGGCCTGAGAGAATGTGACCGGGGGAGAGGCAGGGGGGGGAGGGAGGGGGCTGAGAGAAGGTCTTTCCAAACACACTTGTTAGACACATCTGGCAAAAAAAAAAAAAAAAAAGGAAAATGTATAGTGCAAAAATAAAATTCTTCAAGCAACTATTAAGAGGAGAATAGAGATTGAAAAGCAAAGTTATGGTGAGTAGGAAATCATGTGATGAGAGCAGGGATGGGGAGAGGGCACCTGGAATGGGGAGAGATAGTGATCAGTGGGAAGGGGAGGCTTCAAAAACAAACATTTATGTTTGCCTCTGTGTTAGCAAGGAAATCTTGGCCGTAATAGGTGTGTTTTGTTTTTCCTCCCTGGAATGAAGCAGAAGTGAAAAATAAGGAAATAAAACTAAGTCTGGGATTGGATAGGAAATGCATGCTGGGAAGCTAAAATATAAAGGTTGAGAACCAGCCAATGAGCCCCAAAGCCTTCAGACAGGACCAGGATTTGCAGAAATTATCCTGCCTCCAGTCTAAAGGCCTAGGATTAAAATGTCCCCTTTCCCCACCCATAGCCCCTCCCCTCAACGTGGAACTAACTCCCAGTGTGTGGTTTTGATATACTGGCAATTGTAAGCATCCATCCCCCCGCAAAAGATATTAGGCACTGGTGGCTACTCCTCTTAAATGTCAGTAGCCTGTTTTCCTTCTGCGAAGGTACCCTAGGAATATATGCACATGTCCGGTGTGCGCATACATACCACCCTCATTATTCTGATGTGGGTCCTTTTTATGGCAGTAGACAGAAGCTGGAGTCAAAACAATTTACGATTCCAAAGCTCACAGTTGAAAAAAAATTATATAAACAGTCCCCAACCAAGAACGTTATCCACCTTCCCTCGTGACCAGGGAGAGGGAGCCCTGTTTGAGAAGTGTATCTTGTTTGGGATATTTGTGAACTGATGGCCTAGGAGTTCTCTCTCGTTTTTGGAATACCTGTTTCCCGAGGACTTAGACACAAATCCAGAACACCTGAAGAATACAGTACTATATTGGAAGGATGCGCATAAGAAAGTTCATTGTAGTTTTTTTTCCCCTTTGTAGGATCTATTAGAGGAACCAACAGAGGAGACTGAAGAGTGTTAGAAGGAAGAGAAAACCCTGAAGCCTCAGGCATTCGTCATGAGATATCACAGTATTTACAAGCAGTTTGCTTCCTCTGACACATTTCTGTTGTCCTATCTCAACTCTGTCCTAAAATCCTTAAAGAGGAAAAATATGCCATCAAAAGGCATTGATGGGCACAAAGACCAGGCCTCCAGTTCCAAACTGAGATATCACCATGTTTACCGAAATTGAATCTAAACTTCCCCTTCACTCCTGCCACTTGCAAACAAAAACAAAAAAAAAAACAAAACAAGGGAAAGCTTCCACAAATAAATTTCAACCAGGTTCTAATTAATAAATTTTGATTTTGTCCATGGTCTGGGTGCAAAATTGTAGCCCCCAAATGCTGGCCCTTCTAAGATTTTTGTTGTTAAGGAAGAAATGAAGAGTCAGATTTTTGTAGCCAAATGGGTTACATCTCTGACTTTCCCTCCTTCTAAAAACAATTCATGCAGAAGAGAAGACAAAAGCACCTCCCACTCTTATTTTAAATTTTATGAAGTGGCTTTCATAGAGGAAATGATCTGGAGCTATCAAAAACAATCACTAGACTTTGTTCTCACAATGTCTCTTTCATTTGACTTTCTCATCAGATGCAGGATGGAGGCTACAGGCAAAAGGCTCTGAACACACTGGATGAGCCACCTGAAAACTCCATATATTTTTTGATACAAATAGACATGGATAATCTGGAAGCTTATCCCAAACTAAAGTTCTTCTAAAAATCTTCTCTGGTTTTATAGAACATTTTTTTAAAAAACCAAAAACCAAAAAACAAAACCACCTAAGAATCCATTCTGCTGATCATGCAAGAGGTTGACTGTCTTTTACCCTGTTATAATCAGGCAATCAAAGAGGTAAAAGGGCACAAGAGGTGCAGGCAAGGAAGAGATGGCATTGAGAGAAAGCGGGTATTTGATGGGCTTCTTGAGGGAACGCACACAGAGAAGGAAATGGTCAGCATGAAGGTCATTGGGGGGAGGTCTCCGATTTTTCACAAAACGCAGCTTTGTCATGTCTCTTTTTCTGGACATAATACTCATCACCACCAGGCATTAAGCTGGACCAGCAAACCAAAAGTGGGGCAGAAGGCCAGTAGCTAGGAGCAGCATTGCAATGTCAGGCTTCCACATCTCTGACTTACAGCCATGTGGTAGGAGAAAGAAGCACACCTTGAAATAAAGAAAACTGTCAGTGGCTTAGAAACACTTCTTCTGTACCTCCAACTGTGAACCCTGGAAAAAGTATGCTGGAGAGGACAACCACAAGAAACACCATGCCATGTTTTTCCTGTCCAATTTGGTGGAATCCCCTGGAATGTTAGGAGGTAATGATTTAAATGAGAAAGGAGTATATTGTGTTTCCAGTGTCCACTACAGCATTCCTTGAATAACCAGTCCTCTTGGGCACAAAATACACGCTGGGGTCATTTCTTGGAAAATTTGTTCATTCCATAAACTCTTCAGAGTCACCTCTGCCATTTCAGAGATGATGGTGAATTTATTCCAAACTCATTTCCAAATGATTAGGACTGACCCTGCCCCATGCTTAGGACTGGTTACCATTCACAGGTGCCAACCTGGGCTAGAGAAGAATAGTTTCAAAGCCATACACTTAGCACCCACCGAATTCTCAGGCCAATTCTCACAGTCAACAAATGACTCTGAAGCAAGCAAGCACCATCATGGTATCTGCTCTGAGATACATGCACCCTGCTCTGAGAAAGGTCAGGAGCAGATTACAAAGGACCTCACTGATACAAAAGAGAGAGAAATTACCAAACATTTCAGACACTGATGAGGACCATAGGGCCTTTGTTCTGCCACATTCAAATGAGACCACAGATGACAAACGGGAGCAAACAGCAATGATTACTCTTTTTCATTGTGTTTTTTGTTTTGTTTTTTGTGGTTTTTTTTTTGCTTTTTTAAATTTTTTTTTATCTTTTTTTGTTGCTGTTTTTTTTAAAACTTTCTTTATAATAGAGCCTTGCATTGGTCAGTTCAAAAATTAAGTATTATAAACCCTTAAGAATAGCATTTTCGAGAGGCAAGAGCAGCTCCAGCCAGGGAGAGAACATTTATAAATCGTGGCAGTCATGGCTCAATGCCATCACTGGTGTGTGCGTGCATTCATGCTGGAGGCTGCTACCAAAAGGAAAAAGAAAAGAATCAACAGAATCTGGGGTGTCTAAAGTTTCATCTAGTGCACTGACTGGAGGTGCTACAGTTTAATACAGCTGAGGTTCAAGGTCCCTCACACATCCTTCATCCAGAAAGGATGCCCCACACATTCAAATTCAAATATAACCCCATGGTACGCCAAGATGGAATGGCCATAAGATGCACTCAAATGCAGAAGAGAACAAGATTGTCAGCAAGCAGTGCTCCAGAAATTATTTCTAAGTCATGACTAGTTTTAAATCTTTGGAATAAAACTGATTTTTTTCCCTTAATACCCTCCAACTAACATATATATATATATATATATAAAATTGCCTCCGGCAAATGGACAGATTTGTTGTGTCTGTTTTTTATTTTTTTGTTTTTGTTTTTTTTTTCATTGTTTTTTTAAATTTTTGGTCTGAATTGAAAAAAGGAAAAAGAAAAATTTCTAAGGGCCAGACCTCAAAAATGCCCCAAGTATTCAACTGGCAACTCTAAGTCTGTGATCAGGAGGTTCCTTTACCCTCAGACAAGTAGTTTCAACATTTCAGCGAAAACAAAGGCTGTAGAAAGCTGAGAACCCATATGCCAAGGATCTTGAAGGTTGCTGTCATATAAGTGTTTGTGTTTCTTATGTTATGATTTCCTCTTAAAGACTTCAGTTTTGCATCCCAAATATAGATGGGGTGGCATTTTAACAGTCAATGAGTCAAACAGTCAAAGGAGAGCAGGAGGGGCGCCAGCTGGTATGAAGGAGCAGCAACCATGTGTGGACCAAATGCCATTTTTATTTATTTATTTTTAGACGTGTCTTGAAGGGATGGTCCCAGAATATACAAAATATACAATCTGTCCTAATAACCACCCCGCTTGCTTGCATAGGCCATTTAATGGTCCTAAAGGCAGTCTTTGGAGTTTGAGGCCAGTGCCAGCTAGCTACGAATGTGGGCAGAGCAAGATCAATATTGGATATGTGTGTCTGGGGGAAAGGGGTGGCAAGTAAGGACCATAACCCCCTTGGAGACAGCTTGTGGAGTAAATGTGAGGCCTCTGTTGATCCTGGGCACTCTAGATCACAAGTCATGGTGGGCCTAGCCAACACACCCTAGAAATATCACACGAGCAACACCTCTGCCCTTTTCTTAATGGTCAACCCTACATTCCCACAATGGCATTTTGAACTGTGTATCTGAACAAGTGGGTAACATGAGCTCAGTGAGCATGAGAGAGGGGGATAGGGTGATGTTTTGTGAAGCCACTTGACTTGGGAAGCATCCTCAGTTTTCCCTACTCCTGGAAAGAGTGATTATTTTTGGCTTTTTATGACAGGTCCTAACCCAGAGTTAGATTAAATATGCAGCTGCCCTTGGAGACTAGCGACATCTATGGTGTGACTAGGGTAGCAATGACACACAGCGCAGTGGCTGACCACTAGGCGCTGAGGTCACCAGGCCTCAAGGAGGGTGAGAGAACTGTGATGTCCCATCTGATTGGCTGCTTCGAGAGCCAGGTGCTGACAGAGTCCTGGAGAGGTTTAGTCCACGGAGGAAAGATAAAACATTGAAGCTTCCAAATAAGCTTTTCAAGTTTTCATTAGCAAAGAAACCCAACAAACAAAAAAGAGATTAAAAAAGAGAAAAAAAATCTAGCACTGGCAATAAGGTGAGGCTCAAGGGATATACTGTGACTTATCATCAAAGACTTTTATTCTCTTGGCCACTTTGCAGTCATGCTAGAAGTTTCCAGAATCCCTAGTGCATATGGTGTGCAAGAGTCAAAAAAAAGAAAAGAAAAGAAAAGAAAACTCCTCCCTTGAGAGTGAAGTCTAGAGAAATGCAGGCCAGAAAGGTGTTTAGGTGGGATTCCAGAGTCTGCCGCCTGTAAGGCCATAAGGCCGTTGGTACCGACTCGAAAGATCTCAATGGTTCCAAGAAGAACCCAAACCAAGCAACAGTTCTGTGAGAAAGTCTGACGCACGAAATAGTAGGACTTTTCACACACAAAGGACAAATAAACCAAGAGTTAATTTTGGCTACCAAACTGCAATTTGGTTTTCTAGGTCATTTTTCCCCCAACTATTTAAAAAGAAACATTAGTGCTACACATATGCAATTGTAAGACGTTGGATTCTCCTATTAAGTTGCACCGAGAAGCAAAATAAGCCCCTCAGATTGCCGTCCACCTGCGGAGACGTCACATCCATTTGCTTTGATTTCCATTGGCAACAGCAGGAAGTAATTCCAAGAGAGCTGAAGTAAGCAGCCGGTCTGCCTTGCTGAGTTCACCAGGCCTCCTTCCTCTTCGCCTTCTACCATCTGGCTAGGGCAAGGCATAAGGAATAGATGTGTATAGTTTAAATAGAGTTGAGTGCACGACAGTAGGTGCGTGTGTGCATCTGTGTGTGACAGGGTGTGTGGGTCTGTGTGTGTGCGCGCGTGTGTGTACACAGAGGTTTTAAGTGAGAACTTTCTTCTGCAAGGCAATGGATCCCCCGCCTGAAGTCCAGCCCTCTGCCTCACGGCATTTCCTTCGGACGTTGGCCGACGCCATGACAACTCTGGCCTTTAGGGTTTGTTTTGTTGTTGTTGTTTTTAGATATGTCGCTTCATATGGAGGGCAAGATGGTCAGACCTGGAAAAACACCTAGAACATATAAACAACAACAGAATATCAGAGCAGTCCAGGGAAAGAACACTACTAGTTCTATTAACCTCATGGAGAGACAAATGATCAACCTTAACAGAGAGACAGTTTGTGTGAATTGAGAAATGAGCTGCTGGGGAAGTCGGCTAAGGGGTCAGACTGCTTGAATTCAGATCCCAGCACTTTCAAGAGTTGTGTGGCTCATTCACCACTTTGTCCCTTAATTCCTCATCAGTCAAACAGAGATAGTTGTAGTACTGTTCATAGGTTGGCTGTGAGGATTAAATAAGGTGATCTCTGCGAAGCACTCAGAATACTGCCTCATGAATGGGAAGAGGCTAGCTGTTATGGTTGCAATTGTATGAAACGAAGAAGAAACAAATGTGAAAAGGCTTTAAACACAAGTGTCATGTTCACATACTGCAAATACAAAAAGGGGAAAGACCATCAGCCTATTTCATCAGCTCGTGGAACAGTGATGTTGCACCACCCAAATTTCAGACCTGAGCTTTACAATGAGAGAGCTTCTTGTGAAGTCTGCAGGCCCGTGCATGTGCTCCACATTCAAGTCAAGAAAAAGAAGGCACTGTGCTTGGAGAAGGGTGTTCGGTCTAATATTACCCTCCACAGTGTGTATTTTCATCGTGTGTGTGTGTGTGTGTGTGTGTGTGTAAGGATCTGAGCTATGGCTGCATAGCCAGGGAGGGGCTAGAAGCTAGCTAGAGCAAATCTCTGAGTCGATTCTTTTGGACTAAACCATGACTTGGTACCTAATGTTGTTAACGGAATGATTTCCTCAGCAGGAGAACAGTGGTTGTCTTCCTGCCTTTTTCATCTGTGACCAGACACTATTGGGTGGCAATCGTTCTAGGTTCTCAGTAGTATCAAAGATGGCCTTCTGTGGCCATAGTGACATGCTAAGACACAGTCAAATGACCTATAAAGGGCAATGGAGGAGGCCCAACTGATGGAACTGCTGAAAGAGAAATGTTCTTTGTTTTCCACTGAGACTGCGCAACTACCAAGGTATAAGCCTGGAGCTAATGGTATCCATATTGCCACTATGGGAAGGAGCCTCCTGGAGAGAAAGCCAACAGGCAAAAGGGAATCAGAGCACAGAAAGAGCAAGAAAGAGTCCTGATGACAACATCTGGGAACCTGAAGCCAGCTGAGCCTAGAGGTAAATCAAATTTTCTCTTCTTGCTAGTTACCTGAGCTAATAAACTCTCTGTGATGTTAACACCAGCCCGAGTCAGGATTCTGCACCTTACAACTAATAGTGTGGGTGTTTCCATGTCCCAACAGCTGACGAGCTAAGGTTCTGGCTGGAATCCCAGGAAATGAGCACGTACAACAACAGTCACGCTTGGCTCTGGCTGTGTGTTGTCTCTCTCCATCCCTCTCCTGAAAACTGGCCACTTCCTGACCTATGAGAATGTTCCCAGGCTCCCCTGGACCTGAGACATCCCACCATCTAATACTCTGGCTAGCATGTTCACAGGCTGCCCCGCTTAGGTTAGTGGAGTTTCCTGTTCAGGGCAGGATTTTCCTGTATGTATTCATTCTTAAAACAAACAAATCCACCCTGCCCTCTGACCCCAACACTCTCCACACACTCTGTTTGTGTCCATTCCTTAAATAGGTACATGTGCAGGATAGAATCCTAAGGAAATGAAGCTAAACAGGAAAGAAGTACAATGAAAAACAAAACAAAACATATTAAGATGGGGAAATTACAGCAAAAAACAACCCAACCCAATCACACATTCAACAACAGTAACAATCCCAATTATACCCACTTATTTTAGGCCCAAATATGTTATGAGCAAGCTAGATGGATTAAATCTTAAGAGTCAGTTCTAAAGGAATTTGATTTAGTATAAAACAGTGCCAAGTTTCTTTGGTACACAGAAAAGGTTATAAAGCCGGCAGGAAATTTAGCATTTAACTTGTATGGCCGAGTGTTGTCTGCTGTCTGTTCTCGAATCCTCCTCCTTCTTCCATCCTTTCTTCTCTTTCTTTCCCATTTATTTATTTATTTGTATAATTTATTTACTTTTGCTGGTCCTGGGGCCTGAACTCAGGGTCTGGGTATAGTCCCTGAGCCACTTTATGCTCAAAGCTATCAGTCTATCATTTGAACCACAGCACCACTTCCGGCTTTTTCTTAGTAGTTTATTGAAGATAAGAGTCTCACAGACTTTTCTGCCTGGGCTGGCTTCAAATCGTGATCCTCAGGTCTCAGTGTCCTGAGTAGCTAGGATTACAGGCCTGAGCACCAGCACCTGGCTTTCCTTCCCTTTTAATCCCAACTATCTAGAGAAGAAAATTCAGATCCAGATTGGGAAGTTATCTTTGTAGGTATTTCTTTGTTTTGTTTTTTGTGTGTATATGGGGGAGGGGTTGTTTATGGTACTAGGGCTTGAACTCAAGGTTTACTCAAAGCAGGTGCCCTGCCAAATGAGCCATAGCTCCACTTCCAGGTTTTTGTTGGTTAATTGGAGATAAGGGTTGAACTGCAATATCTTAGCCTCGTGAGAAGCTAGGATTACAGGCATGAGCCACTGGCACCTGGCTCTTATTTCTTTTTTAAAATAGTCTCACTCACAAAACAACAACAACAACAAAGATAACATTCTTATCTCCCAGTACTAGATAAGATGTTCATCAAAACATAGCTAAACCATTTCAACCTAGGTAGCCTGACTGTAGAACTCCTGTTCTCAGCCATAGTTGTCTGTTAATCTGTGGCTTACAGAGCTGAGTTTATACATTAAAGGAGGTTGTGGTAGGTAGAATAAGGTGCCCTCTACACCAAATATCCACCCATAAGCCCCCAACCCTGTGCCTATATTTAGCTGTGCAAAGGAGAGGTTGTGGATGGAACTGATTTACTAATCAGCTGAAGGGAGGTTATCTTGGATTATCTGGGTAGGCCCACCATCATCAGAAGGTCCTTAAAAATGGACATGGGAATTGAAAGAACACCATACAGATGGGGGCTGGAAAAGTACTGAGCAGCTGTGATGATGGAGGAGTGGGTGATGAGCAGTGAATGTGGGCAGCTGCTCCAAGTTGGACAAGCCAAGGAAAAGACTCTTCCTTTATACCCTCCAGAAAAGAAGCCAGCCTACTGAGACCTTGACTTTAACCTGGGGAGAACACTGGAGGCATGTTAGACTTTGAAGCCTATGAAAAGGCAAGACGACACATTTGTGAAGTACATGAATATGATGCTAATTTGGGGGCACTGGTTACAGTGGTAACTGGAATATTAGAGGGTCAGTGGTCAGGCAGGATTGTGGATAGAACAAGGCAGAAACCTTGCCTGTCCAATGGAAAAAGGAATTTGAGCTAGTGAGAAGAGAGCCCTGGCATTGAGTGGAATTCCTTTGCTTTCTTTTCTACACCGTTAGAACGTTCAGGAAATAAAGTAACACTCTTGATAGAGAATTTTATGTAAAAGATCCATTCAGTCATTTATGTGTTCAACTTTTACTCTGCCTTTACCAACTGTTGAGTATCTAGCAATATACATTCAAGCTTCTGTTTCCCTTCAATAAATTTTTCAGGAAAAAAAATCTCAAATCTTTAAAACAGTGCAAAATATAATTGTACGTCTACTGAATCAAATTAGAATCATCATTTGTTCAAATTTTAGAAAATATATGAGGTTCAGGATTAGACAAGGTTCCTCAGTGTTGAGATTTTAATTTCACTTCACACCAGTGATATCCTTAGTCATGATTAATTTCTATTTATTAATTTATACTTAGTGAGTTCCACATAGGAACCATAAAAGGTAGTAGATAAACTCTACATCTAGAAATGCAGAATCGAATTATTTTAAGGGTAATACAACCCCAGGGGGTGTTTATAATTGTGTAGCAGCCAGATGACCTTAAGCAAGAAGGTCCTTAGAAGGTCCTTAATGACTGAAATGTGTGCATTCCAGAGGACCAGTCAAAGCTCACAGTCATTTCTCTTGCTCATGAATAAGGCACACTGAAAGTCACATGGAGAGTAAGCTAGCAGCAATCCTCTAGGGCTAAAGGGCTAAGATTCTGGCAAGTAGTTCTTATTACATGTAAATGCACTGTCATGAAAATCCAACTGGCCTCCCTCCTCCCAAACTCTTGAGATTTTGGACGCATTACCCGAGTGGCAGTCCCTTTACTGTGCTGAGTTAGAAGAAGGTATTCTGCACATTGTGTCTAACGGAAGCAGAGCTCTATGCACCCCCATCAGCCACCTCACATTCTATGAGTTTGAAATGACTCAACCCTCTGATAAGTGATCACTCAGTGAGCTGCATAGTTCAATCTGATGGTAAAGAAATGATATAGTCCTCTCACTATACCCCAAACCTGAAGGGACATAGCCCAGTTTTTTCAGGGGCTGGGCAGATAAAGCTTCTAAGTGTAATAAGTCAACTTACAACAAACATATAACAGTATCAGGTTATCTCTTTCCAGTTTTGATGGAACATGTATACAAAGAAATACTGTTCTTTCTGGTAGGACAAACAACAAAGAAATTAGGTTAATACCTGGCAATGTATGTTTACTACCAGGTTGAGGAGGCAATAGGGAATGGTGGAGAAAGTAGAAAAATAGTCATCTCATGACCATCGCAAATGAACAGTGATGGCTATGCAGTTCCAATCAGTGACAGCCATGGGGAATGTGAGCCGACTGTAGAAGTGCATTTAAAAAATGTGTGTATGCATTTATAAGATTATTTCTTTGTTTCTTTGTATGTTCCTCCCCCATGGTATAACCCCTGCTTTCACTATATTTGATGTTGTTATAATTTGTGCAGAGGAAGGGAAAAAACAAATCGTTTAAATAGGGATACAGGTGGACCCATTGCAACAACGAGACGTATAAGTCGTTATGTCGAAAACGAACTTTACAACTTTGGTGGGGGGGGGGGAGGAGGAGAGATGGGTGGGGGGTGGGGGGCGGATGGGATGGGAAGGGGAAACAAAGGAGGGCGCTACAATGCTTGATAAGAAATGTACTCATTATCTTAGAGCCCATGTAATTGTAACCCCTTTGTACAGTATTTGCACAATAAAAAAATGTTTTAAAAATGTGTGTATGTAATGTTTAACAAGGTGAAACACTACTTATATAAATAAATAAATACCAAACTACCCTATGGACAAAATAAAAGCCTAAATTAGACCTGGCATATACTTAAGGACAGGGAGATCATATCTCATTTAGCTTCTAAATAAGGTAGACGAGTTGCTCAAACTCTAAGAGGCAAGCAGTAGTGCATCTACGTGCAGGGTACTGCTGTGATGCCCTCTGTTTGCAAAGGTGAAAGTCTCCTAAGGAATGCCAGCACCTCGTTCAATCCAGGTCTTCCTTTCTTCTACTTTGGGGCCACTCCAATTCCCCAAAACAGCTCTCAGACCAGTCTATTCTTAGCGCATTCACTGCAGTTGAAATGCACAATTCTGCCTGTTATGAGACACTGATGACAGTCTAACTCTCATTTCTGACATCACCAAAAAGGTACTACTGGAATATGCCTCAGGACTCTGGTTGACCCCTTCTCCCCCTTTTTCCCACCATGTCCCAGAATTGGCAACATTTGAACAGCAAATTCTAGCCCCAGAAATCATAGTATATTTTGATAAAGAACACAAAACAGAACACTAACCAAATTACCCATCACTGGTATCTCCTTCACTATATTATCTAGTGGGCTTGGGTATTTCTCCACGTAAGTCACATCTGTGGGAAGACTGAAGGCTCATAGATGAAAAGCTGGGCAGTTGTATATTCCTCAACCAGTGGATCTGAAGAGAGGAATACTAAGTCTGGCAATTTCCTCCTAAACACATGCTATCCACCTCCAAGGAAAAATGCTCACATTTTCCCCCCAGTGTAGCCACACCATCCTTCAGAGATGGACAGCTTGTGTGCATGTCTATTGCTGCGACATCATGTCATGACATCATCGTGCCTCATGCCACGACAGCTCACAAACAATGTACCTTCATCTCATGGAGGCAACTGAATGCCCTTGCTCACAGTGAGAAGAGTCATGACCCATAGGTTTCTTAATTAGCCAGAGCAAGTGAAGAGTGTACCAGGGACACTTGAGATGGGAGTCAAAGGCGGATGTCAAATAAGGCGGCACTTTCTACAAAAGACAAGCTGCGGAGTCCTGTATAATCAGGAGGCTTTCTAGGGATCCGGATAGAAACTAAAACAACAGTTGTTCTGCTGGGTAGCAGAACTGAGTTCCAAGGCAGTGGGGAGACAATAGCAGCATGGAGTGTACTTCCCCAGCCCTGGGTGGGAGGTTATCTTTGGGCTCCAGGAGGCACGGAGTCCTTATTTAGTTCTTAGAGGATGAAGATAAGAGGAAAATAGCTTCTTCAGGAAGAAGAAAAAAAGGAGGAAAAACATAATTGCTTCTTTATAAGCATCTTAAAGCAGCGTGGAGCCAACTTGGCCAACCATGAGATTGGGCCATCCCTGGCCTGCTTTCCAAACAAGGGAACTACAGAGGAAGGACTGGCCAGCGGGAGGCCACGGGCATGGGGACTGGGGGGTGGGCAGGATGCACAAGTGATCACATTTCCTTCCAAGGACAGCCAGGCCCCTGTGGACATCCTGCTCACTCCCTCCTGCCATCCTGAAAGCTGCTGCCCATACCGGGGGAACCCTGAGGCTGTCAGAGGCTTTTATCGTATTAGAAGCATTTTTCTCATCATAACGGAGACCTTTAGTATTGCATTAAAAAGATGGTTAATTTTCTTAAGCTTCCTTTTAAACACAGAAATAGGATTAGAAGGATAACACGCTCAGATGCAAGCCCATTATTTGATTATGTCTAAACCTAATCCTGCCTTCACCTTGGCCTGCAGAGTCTCCATTTTGGGGTTTATTGGTTGATAATGCCAGGGCTGTCAGATTCAATTACTTGGGTAGTATCTGTTGCTACCTGATCCTCCTTCCGTATCAAATGCTGAAAGTTTGAAATTGAATCACAACATAGGTTTGTTCTCCAAGTGTTGGCATCTTTTGGACCCCTTTGTCTACGTGCATGGAGGAAAAAATGTTCTAAGGCCTCCAAAGAAAGTTTCATTAGCAAATTCATTTATGATAATGCTTCAGAGCAAAGTTTGCTAGACTAACCTTGCTTCCTTTAAGTAAACTTTATACTTTTCATATCATGAAGGTTCAGAGAAAGCAGTATTGAGAGCAGTTACAGGTGAACATTATCTACTCGATTACTTTTCCTATTAAGCTACAATTATTTACTGTAGCATCTCTCCAAGGGTAGGAACAACGTCTTGTTGATACCTAGTGACAAATTCAAGGAAACTTCTCAGTAAATGCTTGTAAAACTGAATTCATACCTCAACTACATGGCAAGAAGGCACATTTTGTCACTGGTCTCCCTAGTGGAAAGAGAAAAAGGCATTCCCAGGACCAAGTATCTGTGAGATGGGCTTGTGACAAATCCATGAGCACATGCGCAGAGCAGGCCATCTTCCAACCCAACTTTCCCATCTCTCCCCTTCAGCACCCGGGGTTTCTAAGTCCCCTTACCTGTCGCAGTGGTTGCATTTAAAGGGCTTTGCACCTGTGTGTTTCCTGTAGTGCCTCGTGAGCTCATCACTCCGTGCAAAACGCCACTCACAGCCTTCCCAGGAGCACTTGTAAGGCTTCTCACCTGCAGGAGAGATGGAAGAGCCAAGGTCAGCAACAAACAAACAGCTCACTCCGGATTAGGTTTCTGCTGCCTGGTGGTCAGCCTTGAAAAAAAAAAAGGGTCTGCTTCAAGAATTCTGGAAAGACTAGATTTCCTAACAGGGTATGACACTTCTTTGTTTGTAGTATGTCTATGTTGTTTTGTTTTAACCTTCAAATGTTGTTTCACAAGATCTTCAAATGTGGAGCTGTCATTTCAGTTCCCAGAGTCAGAGCATTTCCTTCGACTGGCGAGGGATCAATTTTTATTTATTTTCTATTCCCCTGAGTGATTTGACCCCCCACAGCCCAAGCAGAAAGGAAATGTGCTATTTTCATCTGAACCACAAATGCTTCTAATTCTATTTTTCTCCAGAACCTACAGTAATTTACCATTTCAGGCTTTTTAGTCTCTACTCTCTCCTCCCCTTCTACCACAGGCTTTAGCCAGGTAGCTGACTGATAAGAGAAATAGCTCAGAATCACTATTCCTTCCAGTAAATCAGAGTGGATGGGCAGGCAAGACTACAGTTTGAGAGTAAAATAAAAATCGCTTGTAGATTCCTGGAATGTATGGAAAAAGAAAAACTTCACAAAAGTCCTAGTTAGGAAGCCTATAACTTATTGACTAAAGCACTTCCTATTAGGGAACACTACCATCTATAACAAAATGTTTTAGAAGTCGATTTGTAGAGCAGCTTTCAGCCACTGGGAAGCTGCTGAGAGACATGAAATTTGAGTACTGTACTAAAGTGACCTTTTCATAAGGTAAATACAAACGGAGGAATATGAGGTCTATGTAAGAGAATGTGCAGAAAATTCATGGCATTGCCTTAGACTCTGTGTGTGTGTGTGTGTGTGTGTGTGTGTATGTACTAAGGCTTGAACTCAGGGTCTGGGTGCTGTGCTGTCGCTTAGTTTTTTTTTTTTACTCAACATGGTGCTCTACCAGTTGAGCTCACCTACTCCTCCAGCTTTTTGGTGGTTAATTGAAGAGTGTCACAGACTTTACTGTCAGATATGGTTTTTAATCACGATCCTTAGATCTAGCCTCCTGCGTAGCTGGGATTACAAGTGTAAGCTATCATTGCCCAGCTTAGATTTTCTTTTTAAACAAAACAGAACAAAGACTTCAACTCTAACACCAAACATGATAAATATTTACCCTTCCAGTTGCATTGTGAGCTGGTTCTAATTAAGAAAAAGAATCTGTAAAACTCCAGGAAGTCATGAAATTAAGACCCTGCAACTTAAAAGTAGGCCAGAACAATGGTCAAGAGGTCTACAACTAATCTTCCTAGGCCCAGCTTCCACTTTTAGGCAATAATGTCTAACTATGGGGAAGGCTGGCTAACCGTGGGCAAGTCAATGAACTTCTCTGCTTGTTTTCTCAGAGAGAGCAACTGTATGTACCTCAAAATGTTTGGGAGGGACAAATCAATATGCATGTAAATTATATTATTGAGTACAACAGTGGATTCATGCCACAGTTGATTCATACCACTGGCAAATATAAAGGGGAGAACTCAAAATTTCACAATACAGAGGTGCCAAAGTACTATGGCTGTGCCATTATTTTTCCATTTTTCAATAGCTAAATCTTCACTATGCAGCCCTTAAGAAGACATCACTGTTACCGAACTTGACCTACTTTTTCTTTCCACCTTTCCCTTCCCTTTAAACTTGACTACAAAGCACTCACAATCCTCTATTTGTATCGCCTAGAATCAAACCAAACATGCTTGAAATTTTTATTTCATTAAATCGGTGCCCCAGTGAGCCTCGGCTCTATAAGGCCGATAAAGAAGAGGAATGAGACACACAGGAATTTCTTTTAAAGGGAACCAAGAGGACACGAGGGAGGGCTAGAAACCCAGGAGGAAATCCATTCATTTTTGGAAGGCAGGGGAAAAAATGTAACACTGAGAAATGTTAAAAGTTCACCTTTTGGTTCCTTCAAACCAAAACCTGTTAAAGGAAAGTTGCTAAGTGAAGGTGTTCCACAAACTTGGGAATCACAGTTGGGACCTTGCTGAAAATTCATTACAGATCCAAGAACTCAGTATCTTCATCTGTTAAATGGGAACAGGCTTATTAATAAAATCATATTTATTATGATTTTGAAATAAGTTGTCATGTATAAGACATGTTTCTTGTGCCTGGCACCCAACAGATATTCAAAGAATCCCAATCTGCTTCTCACATCCTCATCATCTTCAGGGGCTGCTCAAGAGACCTGTGTCATTAGCTGTCAATGGAAACTTCCATAGATCTGAGACTCCAAGGCCAGAGTTACTGTGGTCAGCTTAAATATTTAGAAACACGGAAGCTTTTAAAACTTTAAATATTTCCTTGATAAACTGATAGAAAATAAAATCTGAAAATCTGATTTCACGTCTATTCAGAATGAATGGGATACTTGAAGGAAGTAAAAGACCCTAGAGACATTGCTGCCATCCTTATTTAATGCCACTGATCACCTTCCAGGGCTCCTCTGTTCTTCCAAATGGAAAACTGAAACAATGAGTAGGTAAATAAGTAGAGAGGTACGTTTTCAGAAATCTGAAAGTCCTCCACTCCTAAACACACCTTCAGAGCATGTAAGACTGGACTTCTCTGGCCCCTTAGAACAAACTATACACTAAATGCAACAAAGCATTTAGGAACTCCCATGATGTTCTGTAGCAATTAGCCCAGGCATCCTTCCATCAAGGGCAGCCCCACTGGGAAGGGCGCAGGAAGGAGATCAAAGTGGCGGTCTCTGAGCATTTTCTTTTTTTCTTCATTTCAAACTATTTGCTTTTCTTTTGTTGTATTTTTTTAGCTAGGTGCTTTTGACACATAATATCACTTCCCAGAATGTGGGGATACTTAATTAACCCCTGACCCACCCCAACTATCCTACCCAGAAATGATTTTCATGCCCGTCTAGTGACTGTCCCCATTGTCAATGGCTAGAGAGAAACCATAGGTAGCTGGATGTGGCCCAGAATCTTATCCTTCAGGCACATAATCATGTGATACCCAGAGGTCAGGTCCCTTTTTGCCCTGGTATTTTAGCCAAGTTATAGTGACTCATCAAACTATCTTTCCCTCTAATCAGTTTATCTTCATGATACCATTTCAACAAATGCACACTAATAAGAAATTTACAATAATCAAGCAAGCAAAAAGGAGTCAGGGAGGGGGGTGGGAACCACAGAATCGGGAACATGCCCTCAGACTGAAAGCCTAGGAAGAGGGCCTAATACTATGCTGTCAAATGTCCAGGTCTGCACTCAATTCCCAAGCCAATTTCTACCCAGCAGGCAGGGATGTGGAATTCTTCTTGTTAGTATTTTCAACATGTCCAAGATGGCTTAATGCTAGACTCCAGTATCAAGGGGATGATTCATTTCTACCAACAGGTGACTAGATTTTCATCCTAACAGCCTCCCTGAACGTGGTTCTACTCACTTCCTAAGAAGTTTGGGTAACTCTCTTTATAAAAGAATTATTTTATGGATAAAAAAATGAAGTATTTTTTTTTGGTCATGATGTTCAACAAGAAATGTACTCATTACCTTACTCATGTAACTGTAGCCCCTCTGTACGGCATCTTTACAATAAAATAAAATTTAAAAATAGAGAAAAGGAAGGAACATCTTCCTTCTGTTTCTGTGTGTGTATGAGTATACATGTGTGTGCATATTTTGTGAATGTGAAAAAGAGAGAGGGGTGAGAAAGAGAGGCGGGGGAGGGGGAGAGCTAGAGAGGGAGCTGGGCTGGAACTGGAGTGTATTTTCTCAAAATCAGTTCCTCACCCCATTCTACTTTCTTCATGCTCTCTTCACTCATCTTGTGTATTTAAGGAAAACTTCACATCCCTGTGCGCTGGCACACCCAGGATGACCTCACCATTCCACTCCCTACCATCAAGTGAAATGTCCAGTACAGCTCTATTTGACGCAGGCATACAGGAGGTATTAACATCAGACTTGGAATCTGGCTGGATCTGGAGTCTGGAGTAACCGAGGGTGCATCAAATGAGGGTGGACAAGACCACACAATACTGTGCCTGGCTTGCACTACTAGAGGGGACTCTCTTCAGACCCTCTGCATTTTAGGGGAAATACCAAGAACCACTTTTCCTACCTGGCAATACTAACTTTAGAAAACTTGTTTCCCTGGGGAAACATGCTACCTTAGAGGTGACACTAATTCTAATTGGGTGTAAATAGATTGACAGCCAGATGAGGGGTCTTAAAGAGAGGTAGGGGTGCTTGAGAAACAGCTGACACTTAGCGAGGTTGACTCATGGCAGTAATTCAGCGCTCCCACAAAATGGATCTAAAATGGAGTGTGGTCTAAACCAGGGTGGCTTTTTCTTCAGATTCTTACAGTATCATTCTCCTGAAATCATGATCCTCAGATTCCATTGATCAAATAACCATGGCATAAATACATTCTGAGCAGGTGCCTCCAATGTATGTACATATTCATGAGTTATACAATTTGATTAAAGTCCTAGCATATGAGGATATTGTGAAACCTACATTCAATAGAGCAGTTAAAAAGAATGAGGGCAAATTAAATATAAATATAAATGGGAATGATATGTTTTTCTTCTTTCATTCAAAAAGAGTCTAAATAGAAATAGAAGGGGTATTCACTTTTCTTCTCACTAAAAACAGTTAGACAATTGTGCTTCTGAGGCCAGTGCCCTAGAAGATAAATAGAAACAACTTTGCTCATAACACCACCTTGGCTGTCCTGGCATCTCCATTCTTTGCCCACAATCTATTCACCCCACAGCAGGCAGAGAATCCTTTGAGAATGGAAATCATAACATGTGTCTCCCTTTCAGGGAACTTTGCTACATTATATATCAATATAGCAGGTTTCTTTGACATTCCCTTGGGTTTTGTGCATTTAAAAACACTACTGTGTAAAAGATACCTGAAGGTGCTATACTAGACTACCAAAAACATTCCCAGCACCCCC